TAAAGAAGCCAGAACTGGAAATAATGAACACATAATTTAGTATTTACTGAGCTGCAGATGCACTTAGCACTCACTTTATTTATGCAAACATCAGACCAAAATCACCAGGTGAAACCTATCCTTCTTTCCACCTATTGCTTCCCTGTTACATTTGCTTTTCTTGGCCTAAAAAAATCACCAAAGTAATAACCCAGCAAAACAGATGTTTCCCACAAACACACTTTTCTTTATTCCAAACAAATGTCAGTCCTTAACTGGCTGAAGTGGAATAATTCAGTGAAGAACTGGAAGAGAATTACAATAACTGACCAGCTGAAATTTACCACTGAGAAATTATTTTTGCAAAACTGTTTCTAGAATAAAATAGAATTATAAAATTTATTTTAAGATTGGTATTAAAGAACCATTCTGGAAGAAGGCCTAGACATACTAAAGTCAACTTCAAAATCCACAGCAGTTTACAAGAACAAGTGGCTGTACCTATCATTTTAGAATTAGACTACAGTCATGTTTCTGCCACTTCCTTAAGGTTTCAATAAAATTATACACATGCTGTTTTAATTTCTACAGACTGGTCAGTCATAACCTGCAGTGCTTAATACTGAAGATCCTCTTAAAAAGAAAAACATTATAATAATCACATAATCATTAATGTTGGAAAGGACCTTTTAAGCTTACTTCACCCTACCAGTGTTACCTACAACCTCTGCTTTAGAGAGCTTTTTTCCTTACTTTTTTCTTTTTTTGGTTACAACTTTCTCTTTTGCAATACAGACTAATTTTAGCCCTGGCTCCTGTGTACACCTAATTTTAATTGGCTGTTAACTCCAGCTGGGTGTCTTCAGGACATCAAGAGACACCTGTGTTTACTCATTTGCATTAAGTTACCTTGATTGTGAATAGCAGGTTGCAAATTCTGTGTGTCAAATTACAAACTGGGAGTACAGGAACAAATGATGTAGAACAAGTTCTTGATATGAATTCTAACTGCTCCTTCACTAAATGTGAAACAAAGAACTGCTACACAAACACAAGGGTTTGGCTGAAAAGTAACATCTTAGGTTACAATGTCAGATGTAACCAAAAGTATGAATTCTATTCCCAGCTGTTAAAACCAGGTAGGGCAGTGTTCTTCATCTCCTTCACCACTCATCCTCTCTCCAGGGGGACATTTATTAATGGGCATTGGGTGTCACTGCATGACTGATACAGTTACATCATCCCAGTGTGAGATGCTCCACTAGGGGAGGAGCCAAGCATTCCTACCTGGATATAACCTGGGATTTGGAACACCAGAGCAGCCTTTTCCCACTGGATTCCCACAGGAAGACCAGACCCATCTACACCACCACTGGAGCTTCAGAGGAAAACCACACCCTTCTACAGAACCCCAGCTGGCCCTGCAGGAGCACTGCAGCCACCTTAATTGCACTGCTACCAACACCCTGGCCCACAGGGTGTCAGGCTGTATCCTGACTCTGTCACTGTTTCTGTACTATTGCATTTATTTTAATCTTCCTATTAAATTGTAGCTCTGACTTGGTATCTGTCACTGGTTTGCTTTCCAACTAGTACAAGTAAAAAAAAAAATATATAGTTTAAAGAATACAGTACAGATAAAGAAAATTGGTTAGAAATCATTTGGTTTGACATTGCAAAGAGTGAAATTCTCCTTTCACTTCACTAAAGCAATGCTCATAGACAGGGACACAACACTTGTGTGCATACTTCTCAACAAGCACAAGACCTGGCTGCTGCTCAAGGTCTCCTTCACAGAGCTTGTAAAGAAATCAATAGTGCTGTATTTGGCTCTCGAGGAAATCTTCCCTCTCACACTGCTCAACAGAAACTATAAACATTTCCTTCACACAGCCAATTTCAATACCACAATGATGTCCTCTAAAATATTAGAAAGGATTAATGTCTTGAAAATATAACACCTGGCTCCTTAAACATGTGCTGATTTTTGTTTCCTGCTATGGAAAGGCAAAGGTTTTGAACAGCCTAGGGATTTAATGTTTCCCTTTTATGTCAGGTCTGCAGCAGCACTGGTTCAATCATATTGCCAGTCCTAAAAGGAGAGTAGTTTGTGGCTTGCTTTTGTTTTCTAACAGAGGTATTCAAATAATTTTCACTAAGACCATTTTTTATGTAAAGAAAAAGTTCACTATGAATTCCTTCACAGACTTCTCTCCTTGCTGCATCACACACTAACTAAACACCATGCTGCACAAACAATCCCCATCCCCACCCCACAGCTGGCAGAGAAACCACACCAGTTTCCATTCACCTGTGTTACAAAATATATATCATTTTTTAAGACTTAAAGGATTTCTCTCTCAATGATGCTGCATGAGTGACACTGGTGAAGAAAAACCCTTCTTCCTCCAAAAGCTAAGCAAGAAGCCAAAACCCAGAACAGGAAATGAGTGCCACAGCTTCTAGGAATTCAAGCAGATGACAAGGTGGCAACAAATTCTGGGAAGCTGGTTAGCCATGAGACCTGTTGAGGCAGTTAAATACATTCACTTGATCAACACTTCATCCTTGCAATGACACATCTAAACTAGTTCTTTCCACTTATGAAAAGATTTGAACACAGGTTGGCATGATAGGCAAAAATCAGACACCTGGTCAGAACAGACTCATTTCTAAAACCCAGTAGCCATTGCATTACACAATTTTATCTGCCCAAATGCACACACACCTAACTTCCATTTTGCTTTGATCTCATTTCAGTCTTAGGTCTTTTAAGAGCAAGAATTTTGCTTTTATGCAGGGAAAATCTGAAGCATAATTTTGAGTTTCAAATATTTTTGGCTCAGAGCCCAGAGTATTTGTTGCTGAGGTGAAACAGTCTCAGCTGAAGAAAATGAAAACAGAAATAGAGTGAAAGAAGAGACCTTTATCAACAGCTACTGTTGGCTTCCCTTTGAAGTGATCTTGATTGTTGTAGCACATTTCATCTCTTCACCTTCTACTTTGTTCATGCTATTATTTACACAGCAGGATTATGTACACACTACTGCAAGAAGAGAAGTGAAGGGCAAATATATTTTCACATATTTCATCTTACAAATCTGTTGCCCTCAGCAAATTCAGGCCAGGAAAACAATGTTTTCCAACCATGTATTACTTGTCTGCTGGTGAAGGTCATTGACAATCTTTGGCTCTAACTCTCTTTGTCTGCTGAAAGCCATTGGTTTTGCCATTATTTTCTTTCTCTACATTAAGCCTAAGCTATTTCTAATGCAACTTTTTGAGGATGAAAGGGCACGACTTACACATTTTGCCAATATGCTCACCTTCTCAATTTCAAAATGCTGGAACACCATTTCTAGTGAGTAATTAGCTAGGATTATTTTTAAAACTTCACAATTAGTCAAAAAGAGATTCAGAAATGGCAATGCCTGACTACAGAGCTTAACTCTCAATAGACTCCATCTCCCTTTCAGGAGGCACCATTGAAAGAGGTGAGCAGAACAGGCTGTCCCAGGTCTGTGGAGGCATTCAGCTGAATACTTAGTGTTATCATCATAACATAAAGACAACTAAACCCTCACCAGATCCTACTGTTAATATATCCTCACCTCTTTTCCAGAGAATTAATACGAAAATTTTCCAGTTATCATTGAGTACTGCCTAGAAAGGAAATGCGGCCATATTAATTTATTTTAATTATTTCTACATAGTCCTTGCATACCTTCACCCCAATACTGACTGACTGATTTCACAACAATCCTTTATCACTTCATGGGAAGGAAGCGTCCTATGCTGTAAATTACTGAGCAAACACTGCATCACAGCCTAGGAATTTACATAACCTACTACTTTTTTCTGGAGCTGTAAATGAATTGCTGTAAAGGTCTTGAATATTGCTGTATCAGCTTGTCCCCCTGCCCTTGAAATAAAACCCATCTCTCAAACCACTGGAACAACCAGAAAAGATATTTCCCTGCCTTTTAGGTATTGCTCTCCAGCTGTGAATCCAATGACTGGCTAGATCTGATTCTGCCCAAATCACCTCACATACTGCAATAGGAGACCCAGAATGGCATTGATCTGATTTTCATCTGTTATTGATCTTAGACAGACACTGCTATCATGGCAACTTTCATAAAAGCCTTTTTGACATTCTTCGCTTAATTCTTGACCTTGAATTTTTTAAGCTATTCAGTGCTGAGGGTATAAAATTAGCAAAATAATAATATTTTTGACATCTCCAACACTCCGTAACAAGCTCAGCAAAACTGATAGTTAAGTACATGCACAGAAATATTAACAAACACAGCTTATAAGCTTTAGATAGTCCAGTTCAGTAACAGTTTGTCTATGTATCCATTATTTTGAAATCTACACAAACTGCACATTATTACACATCAACAACCATGCCCCAAGTCATAAAAGCAAATGGATTATCCACACATGTTAGGCCACATCAGTTTGTTCACCCCACATATGAGAAACAGGTAACACCTGTTTCTTTACTATTCAGCCTCTAAAATTACAAAGGTAAACCAACAGTATCTGCACAATGAGTAATTTGTTTCTCCAACACCTTCACAAAATAGAATCACACCTCTAGAAGGCACTTGCTTGAAAAAGCTGCACGTAAATTACATAGCTGGTTTTGCATTTAATCTTGTTTTGATTAGATTTGGTGCAAATTTTAGCACTGCTGTGAGTGCAAATAGCACCTTCTATTCTTGAAGTAAGGATCAGGTGAAGGCAAGTGATGAGAAAGCCTTAATCATCTACACTTTCAACCAGAGATCTGGACATTAGTTATAGCTACAATTTCACCTTTTAATCTGACTTGGGTTTTTTGATAGATTTTGATTCAACTGACCCAAAATCTATGTTTTAAAATATTTATACCATTCTTGGCATTTGTATTTTTGCTAGGCACTTCTGGTCCACAAACCAACTATGGGGGGGAAAATACTGTTTTGCAAGTACATCACAAATCAAACTTGGAGGTGACCCTGCACAAGCCTTACCTGCATCATGGTGACCACGTGGCAGGGATTCAGGAGGTAAATGACAGTCCTGGTGGCGAACTTGAACCCCACCTCCAGCCCAAAGATGAGGCAGAGCAGCACCAGCAGCACGTTCTTGCCCAGGCTCTCCTGCTTAGTCTGGGGCTGCTGCAGCAGATTCTCCAGCTCCTGGACGTGCTGCTGCCTCAGCTTCCACAGGGACACGAGGATCTCCACGGTGCCCACACTGAGGAACACCAAACTCTCCAGCAGGCGCTGCTGGCCGGAGAGAAAGGCGGCGCATTCGGGCCCTCCATTGCCGGCAAAGCTGGGGTCCACCCCGCCATACATCCAGTCCAGGAGGTTGTGGAGGCTGTAGCGAGACATGGCGGGGACCTCTTCTCCAGGAACAGGTAGGAGCAAGACGGAATCAAAGCCAAAACACTGCTGGGCTGACGAGGCACGAAACGCTGCCGCTGCAGCCCTTCCTTGCGAGGCTCCGTGAGAAGCGGGCAGCTCCGCTCGGGGCACGGGCACTTCTTCCCTTCCCTTCCGCCGCCCGGAGAGTCCCGCACGCAGCAGCCTGAGGGGAGCAGAGGCCGCAGCTGCACGGAGCCTGCCAGCTCCAGACCCCCACGCCGGGACCCTCCTGTCCCCGCCCGGCTCTGCCGCCCACCGCTCGCCCTTTCCTCCCGGATCTGAGCTGCCCTTACCCGCGGCCAGCGCCGTCTCCAGCCCCCTCAGCCCGCCCCGCTGTCCCCGCGCTGCCCCCGCATCCGCGGGCGCGGTACCTCCGCGGGCGGGCGGGTGTCAGGGAGCGGCAGGCCTGGCGCCCCCGGCCATGGCGCCGGCCCCGGCGAGGGACGGGAAGGAGGAAGCACCGCTGCGCTCGGCGGCAGCGCCGGCACGGCCAAGACTCCGGGCCCGAGCGGGCGGGCCGCTCCCCGCGGCTGGCCCGGCCCTTGCCCGGCGCCGCAGCATCACCCCACCGACGTGCCTGACTCACGCCGAAAAATGGACGAGTCCCCCGAATTGGCTGCGCCCGGCCGCCCGCTCCTCCCTCCTGCACGGCTGCGCCCGCCTCCCTCCGCTCCCCACCGCCTCCCTTCGCCGCCGCTGCCTCGGCGGGTGCGCGCTCCCCGTGCCCGGCTCCCTCCCGCCTGTTGCCGCTGATTTCGCCCGGCCGCCCCCCTTCTTCCTCCTCCTCCTCCTCCTTCTCCTCTTCCCGCGGTTCGCCCCCTCAGTGCCACCGGCCGAGAGGGCGGCAAGGACGGGGCACGGCTCTGCACGCCCGTCAGCGCCGTCCTGTTCGCCGACCTGATCGGCAGCGACCTTAACTCGATAAACGAGTTTTTCAAGTGCCATTGCAGTAGATAGAGGTAGGTCGGCCGAGGAAGGACAAACCTGAAAGGGGCTCCAGCTCCAAACCCGAGCGGGGCTCCAGCTCAGCTCCAGTGTGACATGGGCAGGTGCCCCCAGCCAGGTGTGCCCCATGTCACACACAGGTGCCTTCAGCCAGGTGTGCCCCGTGTCACAGTGCCCACAGCCAGGTGTGCCCAGTGTCACACACAGGTGCCTCCAGCCAGGTGTGCCCAGTGTCGCACACAGGTGCCCCCAGCCAGGTGTGCCCAGTGTCACACACAGGTGCCCGCAGCCAGGTGTGCCCAGTGTCTTGCACAGAGCACAGGCCCCACTTGTCTCAGTGCTTAGACTCTTTACTGCCATGTGTGCCCTGTGCAGCAGAGCGCGGATTTGGTTCCTGGTTTGTAGCATTGTGAAGAGGTTGTATTGTAAATATGTAACTCTGTCTGAAAGGCAAAGGTCTGAGGGGATCCGGAGGGAGAAGCAGGTTAAGGGGATATTTTCAAGGCAATCAGAGCCAGGTCATCCCCTGAGAGCTGTCTCCTACAGATTTTATTTCACATTAGCTGCATGCAGCACATCACTCTCCCCATCCTGATTATTTCAGGGCTTTCCTTCTCCACAGGACAGCATTAGGACAGCACCATCACTGGCCAAACTGCTGAGCCTGATTAATTGAAAATAAAACCCTAGTTCCACAAATAAGCTTGAAAAGACCAGTTAGATATCAATACTGTCTGAGTCAAAAGTGATTTCTATGTAGACACAGCAGCAGCAATACCTGGTCTGTAAAGCTGGAGGCTGTATGTCACTGCCATTGCTGTGGAAGAAATTACTCCCTTTTGGGGAGAGAAGGGATCCCACCAGGCTTTTCCAAAATCTTCAAGGACTCCTTTCCACTATTAGAGCTTAATAAGTATTCTACAAAATGCTGGTTTTTCAGTCACTGCTGATTGATTAAACCCCCTATTGTTGATCTAAACCTGCAGCACAATGTTCCTGCAAATTCCTGCCCCATTAACTGAATACACACATACCTGCAACACACACATGCTGCATTACCCTGCTTCACAGTCTGAATTCTCAAAACAAGCAGTTCAGCACTAACACCAATATTTGGCAGTTTTCTTCTTCCTCTATTTCTAAGCTGTAGGATGACTGTTCAAAAAGATACTCTATTTCTAGACCACAGGATTACTGCTCACAAAGCACAGAGTATTTTCTCTTAGGGGTCTGCCAATGAACAACCTGGGACAGATCTGTCCTTTCCACTCCCTCAGTCACATACAACAGGACAGCTACTGCTGCTGGCAGCAATCCCAGGCAGTTTTATACCTTGTCTCTGCATTTCAGTCTCTCACCTTTAGCAGTGTCTGGGGTCTGGGTCTCTGACTTCTTTCCTGAGCTTATCTTTGGTGAAGTGAAAAACCCTTTCCATTAGAACAGCAGTACATTGTCAGGTGCTGGTATTTCAGATGTAGTGATTTCTTTAGAATATGGCCTAGTCTCAAGAATATGAGGCCTTGGTTGAGTAGTTTGGGGTTGCTGTGCTTTTTTCAAAGATTGCCAGTGAAGAACAACTGACTGAAAACATGAAAGTGGGCAGCATTTTGCCCACAAAAAAAAAAAAAGCATTTGCAAAATGTCAGCTTGTCCATTGAAGAGGAAGGAAAGAGAACAGCTAAATAAAGACAGAAGTCATGAAAGCTAAAGATTTAAGCAATCAATAGGTAAGACTTCACAGGAAGGAAATTTAAAGAGAGGAGTTAAGAAAAGCAATAATGCCTTAGAAAATAATTCAGAGGGCCATTTATCCCAATTGTGAGTAGAACAGAAATAGCAGTAAGCTTATCTTGGCCACATCACGAGGTCTCTATTGACCTTAAGCACATGAAGAAAATACAAAGGAAGATGGGTCAAATCACTAAGAATAAGAAAGAAATACTAAAAAAGGTACTGCTGAATTGAACTGTCAAGAGTTACCAGATAAAAACTGCTCTTTACATATATTTGTACTAAGAAGGATATAGAGAAATTATTAACCCCCTACTCAACAAAGAAAAAAATCTATCAACAAATTATGAATACAGCTAAAGGGATTGGTGTCTCTGTTGTATTAGACTTACAAGAAAGACCATGCAAAAGCAGACAGTTGGGACTGGTGATGCTGAGAACAAAATTATCTCAGCCCAGAGTAGGTAAAGAACAGATAAGGAGCACTCAGGTGAATCAAATGTTTTCAGTTTGAGTCTAGTGAATGTGATTGAAAGACAGTTGAAGAATTAAGAAGGAAAATGAGATGGTAGAAAAACAGAAGAGGCAACTGTACATGGCTGTTATCAGAGGGAGATGGAGCCAGAGAAATACAGCTCAATTTGAGTGTAACTAACTTAAATTCATTAAAAAATCCTTGGACAAAGAAACCTCACAAACTATTATTAGAGCCTAGATGATAACCAGAGAAAAATTGCAGTCAACATGGATCTGTCAAAAATAAATCACACCAGATAACTTGATTTTTCTCCTCCAATAGGGAACAGGCCTTATGGATAGGACAGAGCCTGTTGTCAGTTTGATTATGTTTATGACACTTACATGACATTTCTTCAAAAAGTTAAAGAAATACAGTCTGGGTAAATGTATTATGAGGTCTGTACAAAACTTCCTGCATAGCAAGGAGTAGTTCACAGCAAGAAATAGTTCACTCACAAAAGGAAAGGATATATTGCTGGGTTTTTAGAGCATGTCTTCAGTCTGGGTCTCTGTGTTATTGATATTAATGATTCAAATAATGGAACAGAGAAAATTCTTATTAATTTTTCAGGTGACACAAAGCTGGGACACAGAATTACATTTCAAAACATTTTTGACCATTCAGGAAACATTTAAAATAAATAATAACTTTAAAATAAATAATAAAGATGTTCAGTAAGATCAAGTAGAATCATAGTCCAGCACATTATGCTGGCATAAATAATTTCTGCCCTTCCTCCTCCCCTTGCTACTCATTTTCTGCTTCCCTGTCTTATGCCAGCATTAATTTTTCTGGGGCTCTGGTTGACTGAGGAAGCTGATTAACTTTACAATTATAATTCCAGAGTTGGGTGTGACCTGGAGCACTTTGCTGATCTATATGATCCTACTTTAGGTTGTGGCAGTGGGTGAGGTGACCTGCTGATCTCTTGTCTTGCTGTGATATTCCACTCATTAGAAAGAAGGAACATGGTTGGTATAAAATTTAATATCTTGGTACAACTGATATTTCTTTGCAACAACACAATATGGATCATTCATGTTCAGACTCTGATCCAAAATAAACCCAAAATATCTGCTTCTCTGATCTCAATCTGCTAAATGGCTTATGCACAGTTTGTTCATTCTCTCTGAGTTTCTTCAGCTTTTTGAAAAGCACCCTGAAATCTGTGAATAACAATTCAGTATTATTGACTGAACACTGTGCTGTTGCTCTTTTCTCTTTATTAACCATTTCTTCTCATCCTTTGCCCAAGTAAGTTAGGATCTCACTAAGGTCCACTGTAAACATATGTATCTCCTATGTCAATAGAAATGGTTCTCTAAAAGCAACAAATTCATGCAAATAAAATGTTTGCATGGGAGCCTGAGGCTTGTTCTTGCACCTTGTGTGAGATTTATTTTTCTGTCAGTGGCTTCTTTAAATATAAAAATGGAGAAATCTCATGTTAATCCATGGAGAAATGCCAGGTCCTGGGACATCAGGAGTCCTTGACCAGCCAGAGCCCCAGTCCTGTCCCAGGCTGGGCTTTAGGCTCACTGTTCTCAGCTCTGGCCTTTGCTGTTCCTCACTTCTTGAGTGGTGTTCCTGGCCTGGACCTGGACCTGGCTTCTCCTCCCTCCTTTTTTTAATGATCACTGGACTCTTACAGTCCCTGCCACCATTCCAGCCCTGTTCTCCTGCCTGCTGGATGCTCTGTGATGAGCCCTTGCTCAGGTCAGGGCCTCTCTGTGGTTGCCCTCAGCTCTTGGATTGCTGTCTCTGTGGGTGCCACTCTGACAAGGTGTGAAATTTAAAGGCAGTTTATGCTCTCTCTGGAAAACAAAGCTCTGCATCTTGTCTCTCCCAAATTATCATTCCCAAATTCCATCTTAAGTGAGTCTGAAAGTGAAGGCAGGGCCTGAAATCTTGCATGTGGTAGGTATCATCAACAAGCATCACAAGCTGGACTTCAAAGCACAAGGGCTAAACAACCTTAATTCTTATTCAAAAAAGCATTTAAGCACATGCTTAGCTTTAGTCTGTCCTCAAATCCTTTGAATTTAATTTTATAAATTTCTTCAGCATCAAGCTCTGCTGTTATACTTTAGAAATGTGATTGTATACATCAGTATGTAGTTACACCTGTAGATGTACTACAGACTTTGTGTCTGTGTTGTATAGGACAAAAAACCAAAACAAGAAAAACC